TGTCAAGGAAAGAACGCTCAAACACCCTTGATCTGCCATCCAAGGATAAAAGTAAGTCGTTAACTTTGTTTCAAATATTTTTTGTATTCCATTTGTCCTCATTTTATTTTCTTGGCAATAAATTTGAAATGTTAATGAACATACTGTAAGAACTTTTTATTTCTTTGAATAGAGAAATCACCAAGCAGAAAGAAACGTATTTTGAGTTTCTTGAAAAAAGATCGCAAAAAGAAATATTCATCACAAGGAGACCTGGACTCGACTGAGCACTCCGTGTCGATGACCCCTAGTGAATTGGAAGTCAGTACTGAAACACCAAGCCGTTCAGCTAGTACAGGTATAAGTCTTGGCAGTAATAGATTGATTTATATTATGTGTATCATGAGAAATGTCTACTGATAATAACTTGGAACGTGTTTCACACCCCTGCTGTGATTGTCCATCCTGTTACTCTCTTCATCTCAGTTATATATACTGTACATTTCTTAAAGTTAATTCTGTGGCTTAAGACAAATCTATTGCTGCTCTCTGTTAGTGCTGATTATAGGCTGTCCAGGCTGATTATTAAAAAAGATAGATTATGTGTATTTTCGTCGCTTGCATTCTCTATAGAATCGCATAGGTCTGTGCAGTGTGTGCTGAGCTTTATTCATCTTACATTTTTTTGTAATGAAGTGCAGCTTCCGACAAAGTGCATCTTCCAACAAAACGCAACTTCCAAGGAAGCGCAGTTTCCAACAAATGGCAACTCTCAACGAATTCCCCTTGTAGCCCACCTTCCGTCCCGAGGATATGTATAGAAATACTTGCAAGGCCTTAGCTGGGCCCACTCTTGGTGATCGCTTAGCGTGAGCCCAGTATAGGATTCTGGAATAGGAAGGTACCTCTGGCAAGCTACAGGTTAATGTTTGAATAAAAATGTCTCACATATTCAATCCTTTTGAATTTTGTCACGTTTAATAAATGAGTTGAACAACCTTTTTCTTGTTTTTCAGGTAATATCAGAAAAGCAGATGAAATGCAAACTATAGGTGAAAGGTCAACAGCAAGTAAAGGATCACGCTCGAGCGATATGCACAGACCCATTAGTGCAGCCGTGTGA